ACTAGAAGGAGGAACTAGAAGGCCAGTCACTGGATACAGAATGGGAGATGAAGTCCTTCACGAAACGGACAGAGAGAAAGATCTAGGAGTTGATATTACGCCAAACCTGTCTCCTGAAGCCTACATCAAAAGAATAACATCAGCGGCCTATGCGAGACTGGTTAACATCAGAACTGCCTTTAGAAACGTGTGTAAGGAATCCTTCAGAACCTTGTTTACCACATATGAAAGGCCAATCCTGGAGTATGCGGCTCCAGCATGTAGCCCGTATGTAGTCAAGCACAAGACAAAGCTGGAAAAAATCAGAGATATGCCACTAGGCTAGTCCCAGAGCTAAGAGGCACGAGTTATGAGGACAGACTACGTGAACTGCCCTTCACGTCGCTGGAAGACAGAAGAGATAGGGGAGACATGATCACCACATACAAAATTCTCAGGGGAATTGACAGGGTGGACAAGGATGGATTATTTAACACGGGTGGCACACGCACAAAGGGACACAGGCGGAAGCTGAGTACCCAAATGGCCACAGAGACATTAGAAAGAACTTTTTCAGTGTCAGAGTAGTTAGTAAATGGAATGCACTAGGAAGTGATGTGGTGGAGGCTGACTCCATACCGGGAAGCAGGGGTACACTGTGAGAGGCAGGGTAGCAGGGGGTACACTGTGAGAGGCAGGGTAGCAGGGGGTACACTGTGAGAGGCAGGGTAGCAGGGGGTGCACTGTGAGAGGCAGCGGTACACTAAACAATGGCACAAGCAGAGAGAGAGGGGGAGGGGGGATACACGGTACGCGGGTGCCCCATCACCACTCCCGGGGCACCACCCACGTACCCTACACGGTACGCGGGTGCCCCATCACCACTGCCGGGGCACCACCCACGTACCCTGCACCACATTTCCGGAAGCAGAATGGAAAAAGCCGCCAGCAGTAAGAGCAAGTCCTGCCCGCCTCCCATCGTTCATCTACAGCGACTGATGTTCCCTCACACGCTACGCCCCGCCAACACAAACAGTCTCACTACGTCAAGCTATAATTGCTCCTGTAAACACATCATTACAAATATTATTTCAGGTGAATTATACTCGAGAATTGGCAAATTGGTTCATACTATCGTCTTGATGGTTGGCGGTCAGGTCGATGAGTAGATGTTACTCCTTGCTTGTAAGGACAGTTTGTTGATGAATCGTTGGACTCGTGACGAGTTCCCCCCGCGGGGCTGGCCACACTCTTCTCTTCCTTGGAGGTCACTCTTTGTCTCTCCTTAGTCTTGGGTGAGTTGTACAGCTCACCCAGCTGGCCGCTATTTGTTGTGTGCCCAACATACTCATCCTGTGAGCGGTAGTTTAGTGTGTACCCCATACTCATCCTGTGAGCGGTAGTTTAGTGTGTGTCCCACATACTCATCCTGTGAGCGGTAGTTTAGTGTGTGCCCCAACATACTCATCCTGTGAGCGGTAGTTTAGTGTGTGTCCAACATACTCATCCTGTGAGCGGTAGTTTAGTGTGTGTCCAACATACTCATCCTGTGAGCGGTAGTTTAGTGTGTACCCCATACTCATCCTGTGAGCGGTAGTTTAGTGTGTGTCCCACATACTCATCCTGTGAGCGGTAGTTTAGTGTGTGCGCCAACATACTCATCCTGTGAGCGGTAGTTTAGTGTGTGTCCAACATACTCATCCTGTGAGCGGTAGTTTAGTGTGTGCCCCAACATACTCATCCTGTGAGCGGTAGTTTAATGTGTGCCCCAACATACTCATCCTGTGAGCGGTAGTTTAGTGTGTGCCCCAACATACTCATCCTGTGAGCGGTAGTTTAGTGTGTGCCCCAACATACTCATCCTGTGAGCGGTAGTTTAGTGTGTGCCCCAACATACTCATCCTGTGAGCGGTAGTTTAGTGTGTGCCCCAACATACTCATCCTGTGAGCGCCCCAACATACTCATCCTGTGAGTTTAGTGTGTGCCCCAACATACTCATCCTGTGAGCGGTAGTTTAGTGTGTGCCCCAACATACTCATCCTGTGAGCGGTAGTTTAGTGTGTGCCCCAACATACTCATCCTGTGAGCGGTAGTTTAGTGTGTACCCCATACTCATCCTGTGAGCGGTAGTTTAGTGTGTGTCCCACATACTCATCCTGTGAGCGGTAGTTTAGTGTGTGCGCCAACATACTCATCCTGTGAGCGGTAGTTTAGTGTGTGCCCCACATACTCATCCTGTGAGCGGTGGCAGTAAAGGATCACACAACGCAGGAGGCCCTAACAACCATTCAGCGGGTGGCCGACATAAGGATATACAATTACTGTACTCCCCACATATAGTTACGTCAGCTTACAAGGCAACAATACGACTTGTAGTGCAACTGTTCTGCAGGACATGTCATTATTCCACATTGCAAGCAAGTAATTTTGAAAATAACAATTCTCAACACTGAAGATTTTATTGCCTAATGCTACGCCTGTCACTTTCAAATAAGTGTCGTATTGTCTTGTTTCTGACTCAAGACAACTATAGCTATCGTCTACCACAAGACGACTATGGCTACAACGCAACAATGTCAGATATTTTAATATTAACAATAAATTGATACACAAATAAATGTCCCTAATGTGATATTCATCAATGGGAAAATCACTTGGATCAATGAGATGAATGAATGAGTCAATTTTTATCAATATAAATGAAGATTCGCCAATATTTATAAGAAACAGTGAATTAGGTAATATTAATGTAAGTCCAGGAATATATAAATTAGCTTTATAATTGGTAAGATTTGTGAATGGTATATAATTATGTAAGTAATAAAGTCACATGTTGTGTACATTGCGAGAATTAGGAGACGGCCTCTCCACAGTCAATCATGTCACGTCCAGTATTCGTTATCATGTTTATGACTCTTAGCCTGGTCAGGTGTAGGGGACTATGACCCCAACCCTCGGGGTCTTCTCCCTCTGTAGTCCTTCATAATGTGCTCACACACCACCACCTGTCATTGTTCCCACCTCCACACTTACCAATAACCGAATGACCTTTTTTTGTGATTGTTACATATATATATATATATATATAATATATATATATATATATATATTATATATATATATATATATATATATATATATATATATATATATATATATATATATATATATATATATATTACACTGTTGGAGGTAAATCAAAAATCACTTCTCCAAAATCATTTTTATTTCTAGTCTGACGCGACACGGGCGCGTTTCGTATATTACATTTTCAAAGACTTCATAAATATATACTGTATGTAGAAGCCTATTGGTCCATATTTCTTGATGCTTCACCTTGAGGTGGGTAGAATATAGTTGTGCCATTGCTGGTGTTGAAGTATATATATATATATATATATATATGGCCGGTTTCAAGTTCATGTCGACTAAGACTTTTGCTCGATGGTACCCATGTAGAAGTTTGCAAACAGGACACCTAGGGGAGAACCCATGGCGACCCCATCTACTTGCTTATACATGTGCCCATCCGGGCTCAAGAAGGGTGCCTCTTTAGTACAAGCTTGGAGTAGTTTTCCTCAGAATACTTTCTGGCATGTCAAGAGGAGTACAGGCTGGATCACGATACACTCTGTCGGCTATCATTCCGATTGTCTCGTCCACAGGTACGTTGGTAAACAGCGATTCTACGTCCAACGAGGCTCTTATGCCCCGCAGTAGTCCACAAATTCCTTGGAGACTTCAGGCTGAAGGCGCAAGGAACATAAGGAGTCAGCAGGCCGTTGAGTCGCTTCGCCAGTCTGTATATATATATATATATATATATATATATATATATATATATATATATATATATATATATATATATATATATATATATATATATGTGCGTCAATTTGACTGTAAGATACTTGGAGGTAGTATCGAAAAACTGAACTCAAGAGATATTGCCAGTTTTGGTATTGACCGTCATCAGAGGAATTAGGTGAAAGAAATCTTTGCTGTGGTGCCTCAGGCATGGAACCCGGGCCCTTTTGGTTGTGCTCCGGCTGTAGTGACCAGTGCACAATAGGAATACTTGAGAGACTCCCCCACCACATCCATATAGACGCCAGTCTTGGCTTGGCCAGCAGTACCTACATTACCTGGTGAGCGAGGTAGGAGGTGAGGTTGTAGAGGTTGGTTGTAGAGTGGTTGTAGAGCGCGTGTCCTCCAACCTGTGGGGTTGTGGGCAGCGGACACTAACACAGACACATGTACCCCAGGAGGCAGGGTCCTCCCCGCACCACCACCACCACCACACTGCCGCAGTCTTCACAAGCCCTCACACATAAACAACACAACGCCACTCGCCGCCAACCACCGGAATCAATCACGCAACTGCCAATTACAATGGGCACTATAGTCTAACAGTATTTATCGTGAAGGGTGGAGAGTTTTCTTATAGAATTGGCGACATAATAGATCACGTCAGCAGTAGAAAATGTGTGAAGACCTTGCGGTGAGAGGAACGGTGAAGGGCTGCTGGGACGTTGGTGAGGTGTGTGGCTGAGTGCAGGTGTGGAGAGGACAGGCGGGAGGCGGATTGTACTGTGGTACACATTATGGGACGGGAGGAAAGAATGGTGCCCAACCACGGTCGGTCGGGCCGGTCGGCCGAGCGGACAGCACGCTGGACTTGTAATCCTGTGGTCCTGGGTTCGATCCCAGGCGCCGGCGAGAAACAATGGGCAGAGTTTCTTTCACCCTATGCCCCTGTTACCTAGCAGTAAAATAGGTATCTGGGTGTTAGTCAGCTGTCACGGGCTGCTTCCTGGGGGTGGAGGCCTGGTCGAGGACCGGGCCGCGGGGACACTAAAGCCCCGAAATCATCTCAAGATAACCTCAAGATAACCACTTGGACAGTCGAGGAGTGAACGCCGACCTGCATGAAGCGAGGCCGGTCCAGCTCACCGGTAGAGATTAGCTAATTAGCTAATCCAGCTCATAGAAAAAAACAGGGAAAGAATACACATATGGCTAAAAATAATCCTCTTTATTAAGTACATAATAATGAAGTACATATTAAGCCTAACGCTGTATAACACTGAGACCATCCTCTAACTCTTGTGTCTTCCCTTGCCCTCTACAGTGAAGGTGGTCATCCTCCCATGAGAGTGAAGTTAGTCATTACCAGAAGAAGGCACCAACCTCAAGAGCCAAGGTTCTCATATCACCTCTAGAGTGAAGATCCTTTAAAGTGAACGTCTTTATGTCCCTTCAAGAGTGAAAGTTTTGTATTTCCCCTCTAGCGTAAAGTTTCTGATGTCCCCTCTATCGTGAAGGTTTATATATCTCCTCTTGAGTATAGATCCTTATGTCTCATCTATAGGGACAGTCTGAACGCTATCATAATATCGAGGCACAGTGTGAGGACCACTCACACGCCTCTCCTGAGCCTCCTGAGTTGTGAGTATGAGTGCACACTGGACCACGAGCCTCCCTCCACACACCTGGACCTGCACACGGGGGGGAGACACACACCTCAGACCATATACGCCAACACAATACACTTCTCGACAACCTTGGTTATAACGTCGGGTCAAGAGCTCGGCCCCTAGCGCCACCCCCAGCAACACCAGACAGTAGAACAACTTGGTAACAACCATCTATAAGGTGGTGCCACGGCCCCTGTGGTGGTGCCACGGCCCCTGTGGTGGTGCCACGGCCCCTGTGGTGGTGCCACGGCCCCTGTGGTGGTGCCACGGCCCCTGTGGTGGTGCCACGGCCCCTGTGGTGGTGCCACGGCCCCTGTGGTGGTGCCACGGCCCCTGTGGTGGTGCCACGGCCCCTGTGGTGGTGCCACGGGCCCTCACACCTCATGACGCTGGCTCAGTATACCTCACAATGTAGTAATATTTATTCAGAAATTGCAAAATAATATAAAATAAATATGGAAATAGCGTACTAGATTACAGTCAATCTATTTGTGCCCAGTTACACGGTTGAATATAATTGGTTCTTGTGCATGAGGCTGGCGGCGGGAACAGTGTGGACAGTCCCTGGGGGAGCGATGACAGTCCCTGGGGAGCGCTGAGAGTCCCTGTGGGACCGTTGACAGTCCCTGGGGAGTGCTGACAGTCCCTGGGAGACTTAAAACTGTCCCTAGTTGAGTAGCTTCAACTTGATTCATTACACAGTCCAAGATATGATGACTTTTGTAGATCCTGTGGAACCTAAAGGTAGTTCCGTGTATACTGGTAAACCTTGACGGGTCTTGACGGGTCTTGCCAGGTCTTGACGGGTTTTGACGGGTCTTGACGGGACCTGTGACGACAGGTGACGGCGTACCCACGTACCATGATAGTGACTCACTCACTCACGGCCTGAAAACAGAAAGATTCATCTTAAGAGTCCATTTAAAGAAGCGCGCTGTTATGTTGGTCATTACTGAACCTCGCACCAGGGGTCCAGTGTAATGAAACACTTGTACGCACTCTCACTTCTGTACTGTCTACTGGCTTGTCTACCCTGTCTACCTGTCACCTACAGGCTTGTCTACCCTGTCTACCTATCACCTGCCTCACGCACACGTGAGGTAGGTAGCCCGCGGCGTGATGCCTTGCTCGGAGTGGACACACACACACACGTACACGCACGCATCCACGCACATCTATACAGGGGGACCTGGTAGCTGAGAGGACAGCGCTCGGTATTCGTAATCATAGGGTCCGGGGATCGATCCCCGGCGATGGCGGAAACAAATGGGGAGACTTTCTTTCACCCCTGATGCCACTGTTACCTTTTTACCTAGCAGTAAATCGGTACCTGGGAGTTAGACAGCCGTTACGGGCTGCTTCCTGTGCGTGTGTGTACTCACCTATTTGTGCTTGCGGGGGTTGAGCTCTGGCTCCTTGGTCCCGCCTCTCAACTGTCAATCAACTGGTGTACTAATTCCTGAGCCTACTGGGCTCTATCATATCTACATTTGAAACTGTGTATGGAGTCAGCCTCCACCTCATCACTGCCTAATGCATTCCACTTGTTAACTACTTTGACACTGAAAAAGTTCTTTCTAACGTCCATGTGGCTCATTTGGGTACTCAGCTTCCACCTGTGTCCCCTTGTTCGCGTACCGCCAGTGTTAAATAATCCATATTATTATCCATAATAAGTGTGTGTGGACACACACACACACACACACACACACACACACACACACGGGGACACAGGTGGAAATTGAGTGCCCAGACGAGCCACAGAGACATTAGAAAGAATTTTTTCAGTGTCAGAGTAGTTAACAGATGCAATGCATTAGGCAGTGATGTGGTGGAGGCGTACTCCATACACAGTTTTAAATGTAGATATGATAGAGCTCAGTAGGCTCAGGAATCTGTATATACCAATTGATTGACAATTCAGAGGCAGGACCAAAGAGCCAGACCTCAACCCCGCAAACGCAACAAGGTGAGTACAACTAGATGAGTACAGACACACACACACACAACAAGGGGAAATGGGTGGAAGCTGGAAACTCAAAGGAGACATAGAGATATTAGAAAGTCTTCTTCTAGCGTGAGAGTAGTGGGAAATGGAGTGAACTAAAGGAGCAGGTTGTGGAGGCAAACATTCTTCAATGCTTTAAAACTAGATATGACAGAGAAGTAGGACAGGAGTCATTGGTTTAAACAACCGAAGGCTAGAAAGGCGGGATCCAGGAGCCAACGCTCGACCCTGCAGGCACAAATAGGTGAGTACACACAGGGGCCTCGCGGCTGAGAGAATAGCGCTTGGGGTCGTAGTCTAAATGGCCCGGGTTTGATTTCCGGCGAAGGCTGAAACAAATGGGCAGTTTCACTCTGATGCACCTGTTCACTTAGCAGAAAATAGGTACCTGGGAGTTAGACAGCTGCTATGGGCTGCTTCCTGGGGATGTTTGTGTATTAGAAAGAAATATATGTATTATACATAAGAGGAAAAATAGATTGGTTAAAAGGCAGGGTCCAAGAGCTAATAGCTCGATTCTACACACACAAATCGTAAATACACATACACATACATACATACATCTAAATTTATTAGGTGAGTATTAGGTGAGTATTAGGTGAGTACATGTGTTATTAAGTATGCGGCCCCAGCTGCGGCCCCAGCATGGAACACTTACCTAAAGAAGGACAAAACAAAACTAGAAAAGGTCCAAAACTATGGAACAAAGTGTTCCCGAGCTAAGGGGACTGAGCTATGAGTAAAGATTGAGGGAACTACATCACACTACACTGGAAATAACGAATAGGGCAGGCCTAATTGAGGCCATGTCGAGGACAGGGCCACGGGGACGTTGAGCCCCGAAATCATCATCACAGGATAGGCCGTACAAGATATTAAGGGGGATGGACAAAATAGATATAGAAGCAATATTCAAATTAAAGAACAGTTGCACAAAATAAAAAGAAATTTCTTCATTATTTATATATATGGAATTTTATATATTATATAAATTGTGTGGGCAAGAAGGAATGTAAGAATAATGAGGCAAAATACCAGTGATGACTGCCTGCGCTAATCCCAACTTATGCACAACTTGATAAACTTTGAGTAAAAAAAGATACAATGTGCGTAAACTGACATTTCTAACAAATATTCCTTTGAAATGCTAAAATGTCCTATCTTAACAAATAACCCTTGAAATGCATAAACATCCATTTGAAAAATTAACAGTTTGAATAAAGAAACACCTATATATAACAAATCCTTTGAAATGCTTAAATCCCCTAACTTAAACAAATAATACTTGAAATTATAAATTAGATAAATTCCAGGTACTCAGGTACGGCAAAAATGAGGAGCTGAAACATAATACAGGGTACAAAACACAGTCAAATCTGCCCATAGTAGGAAAACAGTATGTCAAGGATTTGGGAATAATGATGTCCGACGACCTAACGTTTAGGGAACATAACCAAGCAAATATTGCGTCAGCCAGGAAAATGATAGGATGGATTATGAGAACTTTCAAATCCAGAGATCCCATCACAATGGTTGTACTCTTCAAGTCACTTGTGTTGTCCCGTCTTGAGTACTGCTCAATACTCACTTCCCCCTTCAGAGCAGGAGAGATTGCTGAAATAGAGGGAATACAGAGAACATATACGGCACGCATAGGCGAAATAAAGCACCTAAATTATTGGGATCGTCTCAAAGCTCTCCAAATGTACTCTCTAGAAAGGAGACGAGAGAGATACCAAATAATATACACATGGAAAATACTGGAGGGCTAGGTCCCAAATCTACACAGTAAAATAACAACGTACTGGAGTGAACGATATGGAAGAAAATGCAGAATAGAACCAGTGAAGAGCAGAGGTGCCATAGGCACAATCAGAGAACACTGTATAAGCATCAGAGGTCCGCGGTTGTTCCCACTTCCTACCAGCGAGCATCAGAAATATTGCCGGAACAACCATGGACATCTTCAAAAGAAAACTAGACTGTTTTCTCCAAGGAGTGCCGGACCCTAGCAGTAGCAGCACCCCATGCCGGAGATTTTTTATTTACTGTGACCAATGCAGTTTCTGGAACTCGCCTCAATCATGACGCTCTCCGCATTGGAGTTGCCCTTCGCCTTGCCGCCCCCATCCTCACCGAACATAGGTGGAACTGCGATGGTCGTCATGGTCTGGTGTGTCGTAAATCACAGGGTAAGATTGCAAGTCATGAAGAAGTCAACGACATCATAGGCAGGAGAAGATAGGAGAGAGGAGGGTAGGAGAGAGGAAGGTAAGAGAGAAGAGAGAGGTGCGGGAAGCGGAAGAAGAGGGAGACAGGATATAACGATAAGCTAACCACATGTTATCTCTATAGTAGTGAGGCTCTCACCTGTCTTGGCTGATGGTGAACAGTGACTGACTCTGTGGCACTCGGAAGTGCCGGCCTCACCAGGCTTGCTGTGGCATCCTGGCCTCACCAGGCTCGCTGTGGCATCCTGGCCTCACCAGGCTTGCTGTGGCATCCTGGCCTCACCAGGCTCGCTGTGGCATCCTGGCCTCACCTGACACCTGACACACTACATTCGGGGAATTAATTCGCTTCACGACTCGATGAAATATTTTGCACCTTCACTTAACCTAAGTACTGCTGCTTAGCGCATAATTCGACACTTAAGTCTCTTTTGGGAACTTTTTGTTTGTGAGTGTGAGTGAGCAGAGAGGTGTTGAGACAAGCCCAACACCGGCTCCACACCCACGATACACTCACTACTCGCCTCTCTTGGCTCACTACCGAACTCTCATTAACCTTCCTTTTCTCTCTCCACTTAATATGTACACCAATTGTTATTGTATTTCTAATAGGTTTGGGCACAGTTCAGTTCACTGTGGCACGAGGGTAGCTGCTGCTGCTGCTGCCACAGGGGAAGTGACTCGCCTGCCTCGCACCCTATGCCGGCGGTGGACGGAAGCTGTGACTTGGGTGCTCCCTCCATACTTGCTCCCTCCACTGTGGTGAGCCGGGGTGACGCCAATGGTTCCCTCCACTGTGGTGGGTCGGAGTGGCGCTGCTTGCTCACTCCACTGTGGTGGGCCGGGGTGGCGCCACTGGCTCCCTCCACTGTGGTGGGCCGGGGTGGCGCCACTGGCTCCCTCCACTGTGGTCAGCATCTGCAACACAAACACATCTTAGTTCAAGGCAACACTAACACCATCACAAAGGAACATGCACAAATACAGAGAACATATACGGCACGCATAGACGCAATAAAGCACCTAAATTATTGGGATCGTCTCAAAGCCCTCCAAATGTACTCACTAGAAAGAAGACGAGAGAGATATCAAATAATATACACCTGGAAGATACTGGAGGGCCAAGTACCAAATCTACACAGTAAAATAACAACGTACTCCAGTACGTACTCCGTACGTACTGGAGGTACGTACGGAGTACGTACGTACTCCGTACTCCAGTACGGAGGGAGCATTTATACGTAAAGTACGTACGAGTACGTACGAGTAAAGTACGTACGAGTACGTACGGAGTACGTACGTACTCCGTACTCCAGTACGGAGGGAGCATTTATACGTAAACGATATGGAAGAAAATGTAGAATAGAACCAGTGAAGAGCAGAGGTGCCATAGGCACAATCAGAGAACACTGTATAAACATCAGAGGTCCGCGGTTGTTCAACGTCCTCCCAGCAAGCATAAGAAATATTGCCGGAACAACCGTGGACATTTTCAAGAGGAAACTAGATTTATTCCTCCAAGGAGTGCCGGACCAACCGGGCTGTGGTGGGTATGTGGGCCTGCGGGCCGCTCCAAGCAACAGCCTGGTGGACCAAACTCTCACAAGTCAAGCCTGGCCTCGGGCCGGGCTTGGGGAGTAGAAGAACTCTCAGAACCCCATCAACCAGGTATCAACCAGGTATCAACCAGAAGGCATTTCATAAATGAATTGTAAAGTCTACTTTCCAACACTAATTAAATAAAATATATAACATTCACACTCATATGTATTACACATTTCAGGGAAATTAATGTTTTCATTTCCCAGACGAAGGAGTCTTCCCAAGGGTGTAACCTACAACAGTTGCCAAACTTCTGGCCATCTATATAATGCTGGTGAACAGATGCATTAGTTGAAAGAAAGCATGTTCATGCGTCCCTGTCCTGTAGCAGGAATCAAACTAATAAACTGCTTAGTTACAATGTCCATTTACTTGCTAATGAAGTAAAATTGAAAAGATGTAAGCATGTCTTCCAACACTATTTTTTCTTTGTTTTCTTTGTCTAGTTCACTTTCTTGTAGTCTATTCTAATGTAACAAAAATAATACATCCTTCCTTATCATCTCAACTCTTCTTAACTCACGTCAAGAACAATGACAGTGAAGAGCCTGGGTAACTAGCAAGGTGTGAGAGTGTTCACTACCAGTGAATAACTTGGGCTCTGATGTGACAGTTAGTAAATAATCTATTACATGACACACAATAACGTTATATATCTATGAGAAAATGTGTGGAGCAGGTCGGGGGGCCAGTCCCAGGGTGCCCCAGACACCCCCCCCCCCACTTGTTGGTGTCATTCATGGAAGTAACGTGAGACTTGCTAGAATGTTTTATATATCATGTATACGCTCTGTGATTACTACAATGCTCTACATCTTACACTGTATACTGACAAAGAGCTGAAATCTCTTGAAACCTTGCAAAATGAAGCTATGCGTCTCATCCTTGGGGCTCCAAAGTCCACGACAATAGTTAATATGAGAGCAGAGTTAAAATTACCTACCATAAGTGAGAGAATTTTGTCTATTAGCGCAGTTTTCAGCGTGTAGGCATTGAGTAGATCTAGACAACACATGAAGTTTCAAGCTAAACTTTCTAATATGCTACACTCACCTGAGGTCTGTAGAGGTCTGTAGAAGAAGAGCGAAATCTGATTATGTATTTTGATTCTACAAGGTAGCCAACTCCATCAAAATACCAACTCAACTCCATCAAAATACCAATGTACCCAACTCAATAAACGATTAATCATCCAATTACTCCATGGGATAACTGGGATCTATCAGTTGATTTTGTAAATGCGCCCAAGAAAGATAGTGTGCACTTTACATTATTAAAACAGTTAACATTGAAAAGCATCACTGAGAGTACTCAGAGTATGGGTAACGATGTGTATCAGTGCTATACCGACGGCTCTGTAGAAGAAGGTGGATGATGTACCGGATGTGCATGCAATATATTTGAACAATCTTCTCTCGTACATACAGCAATGAAGCGCGTCAATGACTGGGCAAGCACAACTCAAACCGAACTTGCAGGCATACCTTGCCACGGAATTTTTAAAAGACAAAGGCAGTGGACTTATATACTGTGACTCGCAGAGTGCACTCCTGGCATTGAACGCACATAGTAGTGACACCCAAAAAATATTCAGTGATATTCGAATGAATGTTTTAGCTGCCAAAGAAAAGAGATTTGAAAATAAATTCCTATGGATACCATCACATGTTGGCATCTCAAGGCATGACACTGTTGATATGCTTGCAAAGACAGCCTGTAGAAAACCAGTAATAGAAATTGATATGGTTGTTTCATTAGCAGTGACAAAGAGAATACGTAAACAAATATCTAATGAAGATCACACAGACCTAACAAATTATATAGACGTATCTGGCAGCTTTCTCAAAACCCAAATGTCGAGTACACAATGTGTCAACTTTGTGAAAGAGAAAACATGCACTCCCTTGAACATTATATTGTAGAATGTCCCATATTGACTGACTTTCGCCCTACTGGGCTAAGGTATGCTGAACTCTATAACTACTATATAAGTACTGGAACACCTAATGATATATTGGACTTGTACCCAAGACTGACTATGTAATGTATCAATTATACAGTGAATGTATGTGATGTAACTATATAACCTGAGCTTGTGAAAGCACCTTAATCACCTTCAGTGATTAAGTGCTAAGTTGCACACTAGTTTCTCTATCAGCTATCTCACCCTGTCAGAGTAAAAGAGACAAATGTATGTGTATGCATGTGTGTGTATATATGTATGTATATATGTATATGTACTCACCTATTTGTATTCACCTATTTGTGCTTGCGAGGGTTGAGCTCTGGCTCTTTGGTCCCGCCTCTCAACTGTCAATCAACTGGTGTACAGGTTCCTGAGCCTATTGGGCTCTATCATATCTACACTTGAAACTGTGTATGGAGTCAGCCTCCACCACATCACTGCCTCTTGAAATCCATTTGTCAACTACTCTGACACTAAAAAAATTCTTTCTAATATCTCTGTGGCTCATTTGGGCACTCAGTTTCCACCTGTGTCCCCTAGTGCGTGTGCCCCTTGTGTTAAATAGCCCGTCATTATCTACCCTGTCAATTCCTTTGAGAATCTTGTACGTGGTGATCATATCCTCCCTAACTCTTCTGTCTTCTAGCGACGTGAGGTTTAATTCCCGTAGTCTCTCCTCGTAGCTCATATCTCTCAACCCGGGTACTAGTCTGGTGGCAAATCTTTGAACTTTTTCCAGTTTGGTCTTATGCTTGACTAGATATGGACTTCATGATGGGGCTGCATACTCCAGGATTGGTCTGACATAGGTGGTATACAACATTCTGAATGATGTGTGTGTGTGTGTATATGTATGTGTGTATATGTATGTGTATAAAGTATACATGGAAGCTGATCAGAATTCCATTTCACCTTTGTAAATGCACATTAATGACACTATGTAAAAGACACATCGAACACTTTATGTAGGGCATACGAAAATCTGTGTATTTATGTATTTACGTATGTAGCTTAGTCTAGAATTTTAAAATCCCTACAATCACCTTCTGTGGTTGATTGTTCAATAAGTCCCTGAACTATATGTTTATCACATCTCTCACCCTGTCCATGGAGGACAGAAGAAAATGTATATATGCTGGTTAGCATTGTAAATGTGTGGCCACGTCTGTGGAAGATAATAACAATAATAACAATAATAATAACGTATCCAGAGTGAGCGGGGGGGGGAGGGCAGTCCCAGGGAGCCCCAGACCCCCCCCCCCTCCAACGTTCCCAGGGGCAGCATATGGTACAGACGGGGGGTCACCACTAGGACTTCCTGAGAGATTTACTGCTACTCTCTGCAGCTTTATAGACAATAGAACTGCTAGGCTTAATATTGGCAGCTACTTGGGTGACGTAATAGAACTGAAAAGTGGAGTACCACAAGGAAGCTGCCTCTCCCCGACTCTATTCAACATATATACAGCTGACCTGCCCCAACCCCAACATGGAGAATACATCACATACGCTGACGATGTCACCCAAATAATTTGCCAAGCGGGCCCATCAAAGCCACTACTAGCCGACAAGACCAAGGCGGCAATTGAACTCGTAAACAACTTTGAGAAGCAATGGAAAATTAGCACCAACAAACAAAAGTTTCAGATAATTAATAATATGTATGTATGAACAACTCGATAAATAATAATAATAAAATAAAGAGCCTTAAACAGAACAACATGTGTGGAAGCATCGGAGTATGTATATATGAATGCTACACAGTATTCATCTATAGACATCCATATATGGTGAAACACATGTGAAGAACCTCTCACACACTCACAGCTCCCTGACAAGAGGGAGCCAGCTTAGCTTAGCTGCCAACACCCACACATCGTGTCAGCAAGGCGGACAGCCCGCCGCCTGCTTTCATACCTCTCACAGTATTTCCCACTTCTATACTTCCCTTCACCTATGCCTCTCCTTCCTCTTTACTCCCCCCCCAAAAAAAAACAAAAAACAAAAAAAAAACGGGGGGTCACCGGGGCTCGCCTGCCCTCTGAGCATTTGTCATCACCGTTGGTGGCTTTAGTATACACGGAGAGGCCAGTGTGTCACGTGATACATGTATCCTGCACTCTTCTCTCACACTGTCTCACTCTTCTCTCTCACTGTCTCACTCTTCTCTCCCACTGTCTCACTCTTCTCTCCCACTGTCTCACTCTTCTCTCCCACTGTCTCACTCTTCTCTTTCACTGTCTCACTCTTCTCTCTCACTGTCTCACTCTTCTCTCTCACTGTCTCACTCTTCTCTCCCACTGTTACCTGCTTGATGGGGTTCTGGGAGTTCTTCTACTCCCCAAGCCCG